ACAAGGGTCTTGGACACATCGTGCGCACTAAATAACCGCATCTCAGTATCCTCAAACACCACTGGTGCAATGGTAGCCAAGTTCGGCATTTGTGCCACAAGCTACAACGAGACATGCAGAGTCGTTTATCCATGTTCAATAGGCTTCTCAGCCCTGACGTCTTAAACAGTGGGTGCGCCACATACGATCGTGACATCATTCAAGCTGGTGCGGTGCATCCTCTCCGGATTTGGGGACTTGCATGGGTGGTTTGGCGAATCAGAACTCATGGAGTGATTTGGGATCATGACAATCCTCTCATTGAACGCAGATCTTGTCGTGCCAGCCACAGGTGGCGTTGCAATCCTTGATCCACTTGGTTTAATAATCCGTCATTTCAGGTTCCGCCATCCAGCGTACAGTCCAACTTTGCTTTCAAACTTCAACTGTCAAGGGGATTGGTTATTTTCTTGGAGAGGAAATGATTTTTCCGAGGAACCAAGTTCGACAGAATTAGCAATGTTCCTCGGAGCTACAAATACCTTATCTCCACTGGGCAAATATGTCGTTGGATCCCCTAAGTAAGGCAACCTCCACATCTATCACATTTCTACCTAGTACATTCAGTTGCGGTGACTGTAGGCCGCCGAGAAATCTCTTTACCATGTGGGCCATTTATGACAATAGGCCTTTGACATCTAAGTTGACACTGACATTCGGGGATTTCTCGTGTCCGCGTTACCGCCTGTCTATCTACGAGGTCCCCTTTCTGATCATTTCATTTCACTAACTACCATCAGTTTAGGCTGCATGCACGTAGGAGCCCAGTGCCAAGACCAAACACCGTTCCGGAGGTGCTCCGAAGGGTAACACCTAATAAGAACGGGCATCCGTTCGACATGAGGGGCAGCAAGTCCCGATTCTGAACCACGCGCGGAACTTCATTCAAAGGCTGGAAGAGAGACTGGTCTGATATATATCCACAAAATAAAATCTCTGATTTTGCCTGGCTTTGCAAAGCTCAAATCATAGAGTGCCATCCGTGCTAGAAGGCCGAATTCTTAGGCTAGGTACAGCAGATTGCCTTTATCCTTAGATCAGATCTCGAGAGGCTCTCGCCTGACCCCTGCTCGTGAGGGAACCATCCCAGGCCGTGTCATAGAGACGCCAAAATAAGCTCCCCGACGCTAAGACAGTGCGAGAGCATGCAGATGTTCTATTGGATGGAAAGCTCTCACAGTGAAAACCTAGGCAGAGGCTCCGAACCTCCCAAGCGCTGAAGAGAATATTCGTTGAACTCCCCCTATACACATATACACTATGCTAGGCGATTAACAAACTCAAATACCGTTGTCAAGACCCTGAATCTACAAAAGCTTAAACCCTTTAGTCGTTTATTGCGATATACCTTCAAATTAACGGCTTAACCCCGCATAAAATTTGGAGAACGCTCAACGGCACACAATGCTGCTATTCAAGATCACCAAGATTTTACATTAGGTTTCGGGATTCATAAGCAGCCTGATATCTATAGAAGTTGCCAGTTGCCTCTTGACGGGACTTTTTTATTTCACTCAAGTGAACCACTTGCTCCGTTGCCTCGGTCTCCCTATACAAAGCTCTCGGTTACTATGAGATCAAAATCGTGTCAAGCTTTGGATTGCTATTCCATCATGTGTTGTGTGGTCAATGAATATCCCTGGCCTTGCATTTAAAAGAGGATAAAGACCATCAGCTGCTCCAGCTTTGTTATCAAGGCTTTTGGCCATTCTTTGACAGCCGTGCATGTTGCTTGTCGATATGATTCCCAACATACCCTGTAACCGCGTATCGACTTAGCGAGCTCTCTTAAGACTCTACCCTTGGGACATGAGAGATCCATCACTTCTTACCCATAGGGCTAAAGTAGTCAGTCTATATTATCGAATATATCTATGAAAAATTGCGTGTAAACACGTAAAATTAGCAATAAGCTGCCACTCAAGTCGTCCCTACTAACGACCCTAGTTATGGACATTCCCATACAGCCAGGACCCTCCTCTTGGACGTGATGATTTGACGTCTATTCAAGCCGATTCTTCAAGTACGTCAATGGAAACGGGAAATCAAGATAGACCACCAGGAACTATGCTTGCTTAGCCTATTCGGTAGCTATCACTATCCACAGTAGACACGAAGTTCTGGCATCGAAGATGGCCATGCCAAGCAAATATAACCATGTCTAGCTCAATATAAGAATATGGCTAGTAAACGAGCTGGCAATTTTCATCCAAGGATATCCCAGTCTCGAACAGAGCAAAAAGGCCTAATGGTCAAATGAGTGGGTTAGGTTATGCCACGAAATCGTCCAAGCTCCAGATCAGTTAAGATGGAGATTGTGAGATATGACAGCTTTGACGATCCAACAACGTTCGAGAACAAGCGAAAGCCCAAGCCGCAAGAGTGTGATCCCATGGTTATTCTTAGCTATACATGTTAAGCATGGCTAGTTGCGTAGTGTCATATTTGAAGATCAGTGGTCGGCCGAGCTTTCTCTATCTCGATTGGTCGATCTACGGAACTCGAAACGTGTAGCTTTATCGAGCTTATCCTGGCTAATCGCCAATACTTATCTCAGCTTCAGCTCCTTGAAAGTTATGGGAGGATGAATTAGGGGGCAAGTTCGGAATACTTCTTTTTGGCTACAGAGGCCCCAGTCCTGAGCGCCGGCGGTCTAAAGTAGGACGGTGAAGCTGCTGGAAAGGTGGTTAAGGGATCACTTTAATACAACTGTGCCGTAGCTGAGCTGTACTCAGGGGCATGACTTCGAGAAAACAGGGCGGGAGAAGAAGTATCTTGTTTGTTTCGTGTTCATTTGCAACCACGGGTAACCGCCTCACTCTGGTGCCACCTCATCAGCGTGACATATGACATACGCCATACGACATGCGTACATATATACATACAACTGGAGGATAGACAGAAGGGTTACCGTCAAATATCCCGCCACACTTATCCACTTTCCATCATACACTCCTTCGGTACAAGCACCGCTTGGTTGAAGGCGCTCCCTTGAAGCCAATGAAGATGAGTAGCCACTATCATCTACGCCCACTGAGGAACCTTGTAGCGTTCAATGATAGGGAGGATCAAGAGGAATTGAAATTAAAATTCTGGTCAGTGGACCGCCATTCGACTTGTAGGCCACGTGTACTCGATGGCATAGCAACTGAACGGCAGAATACAAGATTTACACGATATCACTCAGCCTTGATGTTAGCCAACCCGAGAACTTCAACAGGGGTGTCGCCGGTCGTGGAGTAATCCAAGACCGACTAATCTGTGGTAATCTCTAATGATCTGCGCATATCTTATCAGATCTTATTTGTTTTCTAAATGTAAACACTTACGTAGTGAACCATGTGACGTCCATGCAGTATTTGATCGTCCATGCCAGAACTAGGACCTCGAATAAAGGCAATAAGCCAGCTACGACATGATTAAAGACTCACAATAATATTAGGGATGTTTTTTCTGATAAACAAACTCTGCATCCCCTCTAAATGTCTCTGCTATACCAATTTTGTGATTTCCCCCCTTTGACAAGGGATTTGGTTCACCATACAAGAATACACTATTAGAGACATAGCTAAGCATAATCAATGAAGAAGTTTATCTATTAGACAAATACCTCCAATCAATGCAGGGGATCCTGAAATGATCTCTACCCGGTCTTTCAAACAAGTACTCTTCAGAGACCTACAGTGCGCTGTAAAATACTCAGATGAGTTTAGTAATGAACAGACAGAAGTGCAGGACCACTGAACAGATATATGAGACATGGCAAGATACCGGATTGCAATGTTGTGCCAGTGATTCGTCTCAATGCTGTCGAGATAATCTGGTCAGGACCATGTTTAGTTAATTGTTGGGCAGTGATGTACCTCCCTGCACCAAGAGTAACACCTCATGCCTTGGCAGCTAACAGAATTGGACCGTCACTGTATTGGTGGTTTCATGTTCTTGGTCAGTTTTTGCCGTTCCTATTGCACGGGGACCGTATCCAGGAGAGACGCGAGTCCATTCCTTTGTCCATATCGGTTCTGTTACATGTTCCTTTTCTTCGATGCACCGAATGATAAGGTTTTGCAGTGAAACTTCGAATTTGATTTTTTCCCATGAGATATCTGGTTCCCTGAAGATACTATTCGGGTCATAATAGCCAACAAACAGCTTGGTAAGACGAGGTCCAGGGAGGTGACACTCAGAGTTTGGAGCCAAAAAAGTTTAGCTGTGATCGGTTTGCAGTGACTGAACATATGATCTTGTTCTATAATACTATTGAGCTCAAACAAAATATATGATATGTCAAATTACGATAAGCATTCCTGTGGATTGGTGGTGAGTGGCTAAGAGATCAGCGCCCTACAATCTTTGGTGACTCTGCGAGTGTTGATAAAAGACGGTTCATGAAATGAAGAGTAACTGATCCATCAAGAATATATCCAGATGAAGAATAAGATGGTGTATCACGGTCGTATACCATGATTTGAAGCAGGGAACCGCTGGTATGAAGGCCGGAGAGTCAAGATGAAATACCGGAGAAAGAGAAAGAGAGAAAGAGCAGTATCGGGTGTTGGCTTGAAAGGCCTCGCATTTCATTGGGAGCCTGGTTTAACAATCTTATATGCTCTTCCATGTCGTAATCGTAATACTCAATGTTCATTTTCGGCACTCAGGACTATGCTGAGCACGTTGACATACGATTCAACATCAAGGACGTTACCGGCCTGTGTCCTTCCTACGGCATGGAACTTATCACATGAATTCAATTCAAGATGTCCACTCGTTCAGAAAAAAGGCAAGTGATTTTATCGCCGACGTTGGAATCATGAGAAGAGAGCGATTTGTATGGCAACGAAATAGAACTTGTAATGGATAGATAACTAACAGTTGGCAATTCGGATATGTCTATCGCAACCTCTATCTTGGCCTTAACAGAGGATGTAATATTGCAACTCGTCTCTGAACAAGATGGCAGCTCAAAGCTTCCCCTTGGTCTGCTCCCTCCTCCTCATGGCCTGCGCTGACCTCAAAAGCGCATACAAGCTCTGCAACCTAGGCATTTCAACACCTCTCTCCCTTGCAATCCTCACAGGATTGCCCAATATCACCTCAAGCTCCAAGGGCTTGCCTGCCTCCCAGTCCAGAAGCATGCTCGGCCTTGCGCCCTTATTGCGGGCTGTGCTCTCAACGATCTTCTCAGGTTTGGCCATACTATCCGGGAAAGGTCTGCCGAGGATCTTGGGCACAGCATCTCGAATCTCGTGCATCACGCCCAGTAGATGTCGCTGGAGCTCGTCATCTGCTACCATGTCGGCATTGCCACGACCACCTGAGAGCACAGCGGAGGGGTTCATGGCTGCGTTAATACAGAGCTTGTGCCACCGCACAGTCTGAAGACCGACTTCATCATGGGGATCCACGTCTTTGATACCACCCAGCTCTGTCCACCAACGACGCAGTGCTTCAGTCGACTCTGTGCCACGACGGCCAAGCTCCGAGTCCTTCGAGGCTAAACCATCTGTGTAAGGTCCGATGCTGATGCGCGTCCAGCGGTTCTGACGAATAGTACCAGGAGAGGTTTGCTCTGCACTAACAACGGTAACAGCGCTGACGATGGGGTTACTAGGGAAGCGTTTGCGGAAGGGCTCCTCTACACCGACACCATTCTGGATAAGGACGATACATGACTTTGGGCCTACCAAGGGCTCGATGATGGAAGAGTCATCGCTGATATCTGGAAGAGCCTTGGTTGTCACGAAGATGTAGTGCCAGTCTCGCTTTGCGCCTGATGAAGTGCCAGCAGCAGCATCGACAGAAGGGAAAGCCGCGTCGGGGTTGAAGGTGTAATCACCAAAACTTCGTGTCAGAAGCTTCACACCGTCTTTTTGAATAGCAGCATAGTTAGAGCGAGCCACGAGAGACACGTGGATATTTTGGGATGGCTATCATGATGGTCAGTGAGTGTACCTATGCAGGATATCATGAAGTTGGGTGCGTTACGTGATGAAGGCGTGAAGCGTAGAAGCAACCAACGGCGCCAGCACCGATGAAGATGATATCAACGCGGCTATGACAGATGTACATGTCAGTAATAGTTTAGACTTGACTTATGCGCAATTGAGTATTCGTATGATGGGTGCTTCTTGGGTACCTGTTGTCTGCCATGATGTCGAGGTATCGGGCCTTTCTATCCTATGCTCTCAGGGCACCCAATGGATGGCGTTTTAATTAAGCCGACAGAAGTCTCGATAGGCTTCAGACTTGATGAGTAACGAGTCTCTGTATTTCTCCGCCGATACAATAGAATACGAGACTTACACGAGGTTGAATTACAGTCATGAAGCTCTAACTCAACCTCAGAGCAACCCAGCCCCGCCACTTCCACCCCGAACACCGAGGTCCATTCCGCCTGGGGACCGAGAGGTTGGAGATGGAGCACACCATCGAAACCCAGCAAAAGCCAAGCCTTAGAATATCCTCTCTAGCCTCTATACGATACTTGGGCTTCTATACATAAGGAATACAGTGACAGTGACTGAGTGAGCAATCATTTGTCACTGTAATCAATTATCGACCCTGCCCTCATCTTTCCCGTCGGCCGATCGACCGCCGTCGTAACAGACCCAATTACATGTGTACATAATACTTGTCCTCTCAGAAGGATCATGAACCTCGACAACACCATCTTAGTCGCAGTGATCGGCCACCACCTGCTGCATATGGCACCTCTTTCCATCTCATCGGACCCAGCCGTGCTCGTCACGTCACTGGCAGCATGGCAAGCAAGCCCTGTGAGACTTGGGTGATTGAACCAGATAGAAGCACTGCGTGGGTGAACACACGCACAAGTAAAGTCAGGTCAACTTGATGATGATTGATCCTCCAGACCAAGTAGACCCGCCAACATCGGATAGTTTTGGCATCAAACAGCCCAAGTTCCAGCTTCTTCTCGTCGTGGTTCGCTCCGAAACACGGCAAATGCAACACGAGACGAAAACCAGTTGTTCTAGTTCCCTTAGTCTCCCGTAATGTGTCAGCATCGTTGTTCAAACAAGGCAAGTCATCAAGGTAGAGCAAGCAAGTAATCAATCAATCAACCAACTTCCATGTTAACCATCTCGGGAGCTATTCACACCCAAATTCTTGGCTGCCAATCGGCGACGCCGTTCGCCCGGTTCGGAACACCCCGCCGATCGTTGATGATCGGTTTCAATGTGCGAATGAGTGAGAGTGATTGTAAGATTCAAACACCTACTCGAGTGACCAGAAAGACCACGAGACAGGAAGGGTATAGAGACCAGCAGCTATTGCCGTCAATCCCACGCGACGTAAGCCACATTCATGATGCAAGGTGGCCCTCATGATCTCAACCAATGTGTCAACTGCCGACTCATCAAGGCTCGTAGCTATTGGAGCTGTTGCCGTCATCAAAAACTACTGGTCGTTTTTATCGACCTGGCTGGATATCAAAATACTCTAGAATCATTCATTATGTGCCTACAGCTGATTCCCGACTTGTCCAAGAAGTCAAGACGACATTCTCAAAGTCGGGTGCCCAGCAACGAGTTCGAATTTATCTATGCCAGAGCAAAAACATCCAGGTCTATGGAGAGCAGACACTGAATGCCGATTACCACGCTGAGGAGATCCCAACGCGGTTGCTGGCAAACATTACACACGAGAAACTGTTGGGAACATGTCAGTGTCACGGAAAACCTATTATAGCATTGCCTCATGCTTGAGGCTCTTGCAGTAGACAGATGCAAAGATGATGCCATGCTGAATGGCGAATAGCTGCGACGCGAGGGCTGGAGGTATTGCTGTCCCAGCCATGTCAGGCAGCATATTTCACATCCAGCATTCGAATCCAAATGCACGTAGCCGTGTCGGAGGCGGCCGCTTCCAAGACAGCTCAGAGATTCTCAAATTGGAACCATGACGATAGAATCGACACGACGATAGCCTTGGGTTGCAGCCGCTGTCGGCGATCAGCGCCTAAGCGTGGTATATCTTGTTGAATACCTCGTGGCGCCCAGTGGAATGGTTGTGGTTGTGGTTGCGGTTGACCCCAACTTTGTGTGCTTGTGTGGTTGCAAAGGGAAAAATTTTCGACTTGTGAAAGATATGGGCGAGTTTTGATTTTGCAATTTGGCCTGGTCAGCGTGGGGGTGGTTGTGATTAACCGATGGCTGGGCGGCCAATTACATGTCCCCTTTCTCGAATATCTTCTGGGCCAATAGAAGCTTCAGGGCAAGACAAGGCACCACGTTTAAACCAATCATTTGAGGTCACGCTCGAGTTGCCTTTTACGGCCGTCAACGGCCCGGCCACCGCACCGTTGTTTTGTGGTGCTTTGCTTTGCTTTGCTTTGCGGTCATGTTCGTCGACCTGTCCTCACAGGCTCACGCTCTCTCATGATCCATTGATAGCCATTCCATTTTCATAATAAATGGAGAATCAAGACAAGCCGGCCCGTTTGGAGACTCCTTTCAACCGCGGCTGCCCTTGGTATACCGAGCCCACCTCTTGCGCCGTGCCGTGCCTGAAAGCGGTAGCCCCTGGGAGACGAGGCTCTGTCTGTGTCTGTGTCTGACAAGACCAGGAAACTTTGCTAATAATGTTGTGGTCAATGAATGGATGGAAACTGTCTTTTGCCAATCTCAAGCGGGTGCATTTCCCATTCCATGCTATTCCATTCTCGACCTTGGTTTTTCGTGGCGCTTAACCGTTCAACGCTTGATTAGGGCTCGTGTTTCGTTTCATTTTCACATCAACTCATTTCATTTCAGACTTTGCGCTCGCTCGCTCGCAGCAGATGGTGGTAAAGTAACGAGACTGCAAGTACCCATCCGGAGAGGCTCAAGACACACATGACAAGGGCGACCCTCACCCTCTTACAACTTGCCTTGACCTGAGACGAGGAGATTGGCCGTGGATCAAAGCAGATGCGGCTAGGCGGAAGCGCCATCGCAAGAGTCGACGTGCAGATTGAACCCAAGACTCTTTGGGTATCGCGTCCAACATACCTACCTAAGGTAGGCTACTAGGTAGCTACCGTCAAGCGTCGCAGATGAGCCCCATCGCCAACAAAACAAATGTGAACGGATACGTACAGCCATGGCCCATGAGCCACCCATAAAACTGCCGGTGTAGTTAGTGAGGTTAGTAACCACATAACGGAACCGGTCAACAAATCTCCTCGGGTCGGTCTTGTAGGCGAACGTCGTTTCCTGGTAAGTGGTAGCGAATCCTCATTCCATGGGCGAGCGGCCAACTACATACAGACGTGGCCAAGGTCTCGCTGATCAGCAACATTTCCTTTAGTCTGCATGGTATGTACATATGTATGTACGTAGTAGGTAGCTTTGCAATGATCACCCAATTCCACTCTGAGCATGGGGTAAAAACTTACCTAAGAAGCACGGGTGCTAAAAGGAAAACCGAGGATTGAAAGTCACAAAGTTTGCTGAGGCTCGCCTGGCGCATCCCACAGCGGTATCGCTGCTGATTCATATGCAAGAGCTGGCGCATATTTTTTTTGTCTGCGGGCAATCAGAAGCCTGACAGCTTGGTCCAAGCTCCCTCCGCTGTACCACAAGGATGCAGGGGCGCAGGCTTCTAGAAAAGCTGCTGGAACCTAGCAGATCAAGGGTCGGGGTGTGAAGTGAGCAGACAGCCAAAATCCTGTTTGGGGGAATTCCGCCATGAAGCCAAGAACCAATCATGTAAGCATATAAAGATGCGGGATGGTGGGGGCGGGCAATGGGGCCCCGATGGGATGTCTGGAGTCTTAGACAAACTTAGGCAAGGATTCCGGTCTGTTTTCGAGTGACTTTGGGAACGGTGCAAACTCGAGACACCCAGCACTGTCTCGAACTTCTTCATATTGGCTTCTTGTAGGATGTCTGGATGTCCATTGTTGGCTAGCACTTTGCATTTTCGAGTCTGTCAATCTGACACTGACAACGGGCGCAATCCAACCTGCCCCTTTGTGCAACTTGTCGGTCTTCGCTGACTGCAAAACATCTCCTGCTTGAGCGACCAGGACCCGAAGTCGCACAGCCATACAGAGTAGACGCATACTAGTCAAGCTTGCACATGTAGCCCGGGAATGAGACCTCTCTTTGACATCTCCGAAGCAAGGATGAACGGATATCAGGCATTTCTTTTGCCTATGTGGAGAGTCTGTTGGAGAACGGTTGATCGATAGTGGACCACGAGGCTGTAGTTAATTTCCCCAGGAAGTTATCCATATGTACGCTGCATCCCGTATAATGTCAGGTATCATGAGTAGTGGCAGGGTACATCAATATCGTAATTCCCATAGATCTCAGGACATTGTCAGCCAATTCACCAACCCCTGCTTCACTCTTGGTTCTTCCCCAGACATGCGGCAGAGTACTCAAGTTACAAGTTACAAGTGACAGTGACGGTGACAGATGCAAGCCAGTAGCAGCCAGGCGTGTACAGACCCTTGCGTGAGCCTCGTGGAGTAGGAGCAAGGAATGGTCTGCCAGAGTGCAGAATGGACCTCCGATCGCTGGACACGCCAGAGATCACTCTGGTACCTGCGTGACGTCTCTGACACCGCATATGTTGCGGTCAAGCGACGAGCCTTTCATCTTCCCATTTCAGGGCGGAATCTTGATATCCTATGCACACACGTGGACGACACAGAAATTCATACATATAGATCTTCCAAGGCGGTCAGATCTAACTCCGATGACCCCTCGGCATCCCACATCAAGTTGAGGAGCGGGGGCATAAAAGAGGCGGCTGTCGCTTTTCGCGGCTGTGGGATTCGTTATACGTAACTTGGTACTAGTTGGATGGCTAGCCACCACAGAATGCGGAGTCCGGAATTGTCTTTTCCAGTTGCCAAACCCTTGGATACGAAGAACTTATTCCCATTGACTGAACCTTGCTGGCTGGAGATAATCGTCATTGAAATGAAGTGTTACATATAAGCCGGACGCTCACTGTAACCAGGCTCGTGGTCCTCATTCTTTGTGTGGATAAAGGGGCTTGTATCCATTATCAGTATTTTGCCGGCAAAGACGCCAGAGAATTAGAGTTCTTTGAATAAGTCAATACGTATGTATGATAGCCGACATAGACGCATCGCGGAGTACATACATAGTACGATTTAATACAGACGGCATGCA